TCTGGAGTCATCCCCAAGAACCCGATCACACAGCACACAGGAGGGCTGTGAGCTGAGATGAAATCTGGGCATTGTCTTCATTGTTATTAATTTAATTATCATTCTGTCTGAGCAGTTTCATTTTCAGAGAGTAATTCGATCGCCCTTTTAGAACCTTGATCATCTCGGTGTCATGTTCTTAGAGGGAGGCATCTCTGGAAGAGGTGCTCACTGTGGTGTTCTTTTAGTTAAATTCATCTGTTCCTGCAATAATGTGGATGAAACACCTGCCCTGCAAGCTAAATACACATTTGCTCCTATTCCTGGGACCCAGAGTGGAGTGGAGTTGACCACAGCGTGTGCGTTAGATGCCACTCTTCAGGCAGGTTCACTCCTGAGTCTGCACTCAGGGGACTCCCGCTGTTTCCCATCGTCCTGCTCACACCCACCCGGCTAGCAAGTGTGCATCGGGAGACGGATTTCACAGGTGCTGAGCTGCTGGGTGGGTGAGCCGGGAGATGGTGGAGAGAACACAAAGGCCGGATTTCGTTCGGTTCTTACCTGGAAGATTTGAGGTTGCAGGGAGAGAACTTTCCTTCTCTGCAGTCAGGCAGAGCTCAAGGCCGGTCCTCAGCCTTGTGAGGTCAGCTTTCCAGCTCTGTCTGGCCGCTTCTGCTCATGGAAGTCATGTCAGGACGCCTGTTTGTGTCCGCGGTCGAGGGGGCTTCCCCTGCCCCCAGCCTCATGAGCATCACCAGCAGCTGATGCTTTCCCGTCCCCCGGGTGAACCTGCTTCCATTTCTCACGGTGCTGAACCAGGAGCAGGGGGAGGCTGTGATCCATGATCTCCCACAAATCCCAGCAGACATGTTTTATAGTTTAAAGTGGTTATACGAGTTCTTCTTTTTGGATATTATTTGTGTGTGATCAGTTTACATGGTGTTTATTGGGTGTTTGTGTTTTTTATAACGTCGGTTTGTGGGATCTGGGAGAAGAAGGGTTTTTAAGAGGAAGATCCTTGGGGAGACAGAACCTTGATGTGGGGAGCTGTGAGCGCTCCACTCAGGGCGGGGAGCACATTCAGGGCGAGCTGGGCAGAGCCTCGGAGGCTTCTGGCTGCCCCTCTCTGGGTGTGGGGCCTGTGGGGAGACTCCATTCAGGGAGGATCTGGCCACTTGAGGCAGGAACAAGTCCAGTAAAGCCTGCGCCGCAGCTGAAGGAATGATCCCTGTTTGTTCTCTAAGAGGCCCCCGCAGGCGGGAGATGTCTTAAATAACCACCCACAGGCAGAGAGTAAAGGGCTCAGTGAAGAAAGAAACTGGAGCTCAGTCCCTTGAGGGCAGAAACGCATCCCCCACACCCGCCCTGAGCTGAGCACGGCCACGCCTGGGCTTTGTGGGAGCCTGACCAGGCCCAGCGCCTGCCCTTTGCTGAGCAGTGAGTAAGGGGAAGTTAGACAGCCGCAGGGACATCCTTGGCCTGACTGGTCCAGCCACCTCACTAGCACGTGGGGTGGATGAAGCTCAGGGAAGCCAAAGGACTTCTCCTGGATCCCTGGGGAATAGGACCGGAGGTCCCAGCTCTTGACTCCCAAGTCAGTGCTCCTGCTATGGCCCAAGGTTGCTCAGCACCTGCCAGGCCTGCGCGGGGCACTTTAGAGTCGTTAGCCCATTTAACCCTGACTGCCACAGACACATGAGGTTGGGAATGTACCCATTCTACAGATGAGGAACCGAGGCTGAGAGAGGCAGGTAGGAGGAGGGGTGAGACCCAAACCCAGCACTGTGACTCCAAGGAGCCCTTAACTTCTATATGCTCATCAGATAAATATTCTATCCTGGGACAATTAGTATTTTCTTAGATTCAAACAGACAAACAAACAGAAACAAAAGAAATGTTAATTGTTGAGGACATGATTCTCTAATCAGACTTTCAAGGAAATTCCCAGAACTTTGCAGGTTAACAATGATGCTACTTGTTACCATTGGCTTCTGCCCCTCCTACCCGGCCCTGACCTAAGTACTTTTTTGGCATTTAGTTGTTTAAACGTCATCACAAAGTTCTAAGATACGATTTGATGCAACATCATTGCCCCTGTGTTAAGGGTGTGGAAACTAAGCTGGGCGAGCAGAAATTGCTTGCTCTAAAACCCTGAACCCATGATTCCGTTTCCTTGGAAATATGCCTGGGATGGGGATTTGGAAACCTGTGGGAGGTTGTGTTATTGAGGGTCATTATTGTCATTCTCCATCTTCCTTCCCTGAATCCATGCCCTGTGTCATGTGACTTTGTAGTTTGTGCCTCTAGAGGTGGAGTCTGTTTCCTTGTCCTGTTGATGTCGGGTTTGCTTGTGTGACTTGCTTTAGCCAATGGGACATTAGCAGGTGTGATGTGGGCAGAGGGGCAGCATATGCTAGCACAGCTGGTCTTGCCTGCTTGTTCTCCTGCCTTCCATTATGACAGAAATAGGCCTCTGGTTGTCACTGGTCCAAGGAAGATGGGAGACCCTCAGTATAGCAGACCGGGACCCAGCTTTCAGCTTGCAGCCAAGAAAAGCCAGTCCTGGCTCAGATGTGATGAACCCCATCAGACCTGTGGACATGAGAATGAGAAATAAATACTACTGTTTGTAACTGAGTTTGGGGGTGTTTTGTTACACAGCATGATTGTGAGAGTAGCTGACTGATACAAAACTAGAGACCCAACATGCTGCAGCGCTCACTAGCACCCGAATGCACCTGCCCTCAGGGCCATCTTCTCCTGACTCACTGTGCTTTCCAATGCCCTCAGGGCATCTTCATGTCAGATAATGGGTCCTTGCCCACCATGTCATGTTGGCCCCTGTTCCCAAGGGGCAGGCCCAAGTTCTTCTGGTCTAGTTCAATGGAGCAGCACCTCTGTGCATTGGAGGAGCTCTTCCTTGTTTGTTTTGTTTTTCTCTAATCAGACATGCAAGGGTCCACTGAGCTCTTCTAATGCAGAGAAAGCCTGTTTGGCTATCATTATGTCAGTTTCTTTTTGACTTTTGCAAACTAACTGTCACTAAACATTCGTCAGACCTAGAGCTGGTCTTTCCCTGGTGACAATAAAATAGCAGGAGTGTTTGTGTCCTCTTTGGATCACGGTGATATTTCTGTCCACCCTGACATCTTCGCTGGAGAGAATGCAACTGTGTCCCCTCCTGACGACTGTTGGGAAGTTTCTTACTAAATAACCATCAGCATCATTATCATTGTATGTCTTTTGGACAGGAAGAAGGGAGGGCAAAGTTCTGTCTCAGACTCTTAGGAGTCAAGAGGGAAGGGGACGGGAGCTGCTGACCTCCAATGGCTTCCCCAGGGCGCTCTGGCTGGGCTGCTCAGCTGTGTTCTCTCACAGCATATGGTTCACAGCTCCCTAGGACCTCAGTATTATTCTTACCACAGGACAGAAGACGACAGCAAAGCTCAGAGAGACTGTGTAACTAGCTTTAGGATTTAGTTTCAGCCTTAGAGTTAGGCTTTCCCTCTTCCTGATTATAAACTGAAATGATAATAACGATGAGTCAAGGCTTTCTAAACTAAGTATATTCAAGCAATATTATAATAACCAAAAGAAAAACAAGAAAAAAAATTTATTGCCCAGAAATAGAAGATTGTTGAAGGCAGTTATCGTATATCTATATGAAATACATTGTAACTAATGAAATTTATGCTTTTGAAGACTGATTGATGGCCTAAAGAAATGTACATGGTATAATGTGAATAAAACTCAAGGCAGAATCTGATGAGTAAATTAACAAAACTTCTAAACTAACTAAATTAAACATTTAGAATAAATCCTAATTTTATAAACCAAATAGATTTTATATGTGCATTAAAAACACTGGAGTTAGATTTTATTTTTTCTCTATTTTCTAGGAATATTTTATAAACTTTTCAATTAATTTTTTAAATCAGAAAATAAATGAACATCCTTAAAAGTAAAAACATAATAAAAGCATGGAGCAGCCTTGCGGTGTGACGTGTAAATGTCTTATCATATGGGACATTTTTTCATTTCACAAACTCTCCCTTCTTCTTTGGGATGTCCCAGGGCAGGGACCCTGTCTCCTCTCCGTCTTGGTGGCGCCGGGAACATATCAGAGCCCAATAAATAATTAATAACAACAAATGAGAACTCCTTGAAAGGAGTCCATTCACTTCAGGTGGCCCGCTAACTCCTCAAGGCTTTCTCTTAAGTGCGTTTCATTTGTTTTGATTTTTTTTCAACTTAAATGGATGAAAATTAAAGCCAGGGAGCTGCTGGCATGTGGAGAGCTGGAAAAGAGAAAAATAAATGAGTGCAGTCCCTGCAGGACCAAAGGGTGGGGCCTGGACCTGGGCACCTGCCGTGTCTGAAAGTCCATTTTTTGCCCAGTTGTTCTGTAAGGCACTATGATCTAAAAGTCAGAAAAGAAAATGGATGATGTATGGAACAACATTCAATATTGTTACTACCACATAAGAAAGGTGGATTTAGAGATCAGAGAGTACGGTCCCTGCATTGGAGTCACTTGTTTACAGGTGTGTACTGAACACCCACTCCTGCCAGGCACTGCTCTGGGTGCCAGGACAGGGCAGGGAACAAAACAATGCCCCCTGCCCACCGCCCACTGCGAGGTTACTTTCGAGTCTGAAGGACAAGCAGTAGCAGTTTAACTGGCAACTGCTTGATGTGCGGGAGGTGGGGGCTGTTCTAAAGGACGATAGAGGTGAAGGGCAAGGCCGTGTCAGGGGTCAGGAGGCCTCTCTGAGGAGGCGAGCGAGTCCTGGGAAAAGCACCCTAAGCAGAGGCACAGCAGGTGCACAGGCCCCGGGGCAGGAGAGACCTTGGTGATCCTGGCTGAGGAACGGCAGGGAGGCGGGTGTGGCTAGAGCCGCGTGGCCGAGAGGGAGGTGGGAGGAGATGAGGTCACAGGAGAGGGCGTGGAGTGAAGCAGTGAGGGGTGACCCGTGGCCTGTGGTCACTGTATTCAGGTGGGCAGGCTCCGGTGGAGAGCCAGGGCTCTCGGGGTGGTCCTAGGGGCAGCAGCATCAGCACCCCGGGACCGTGCTGGGAAAGCCAGCTCTCAGGCTCTGCTGAGACCTCCCGAATCAGAACCTCAGGGTGGGCCCGGCCATCGGAGTTTTAACAAGGCCTCCAGAGGATTCTGACACTCACTAGAGTCTGAGAGACACAGCAGAGCTCCAACCTGGGCTCCAGTTTTCACCCATGAGACAGGAGGATTCTGGGTGGAAGGGCAGGAGGGGCTGGGGTCCCCCCCAGAAGGAGCGCCCCAGGAGGACGCCACACAGGGTGGACATTCGCTCCTCCTGGGAATGTTCTCTAAGGGTTCCTTGGACAGGAGAGTGGCTCTCTGGGCTGCCTGGCATTGGAGATGCTGGGGGGCGAGTGCCCCAGGAGCAGGCCTGCACCCGTGACTGAGGGGCGGGGAATAAAACCCCAGCTTCCCCTGTGTCTGGGTGACTCTGAGGGGCGTCCCGTACACAGATCCCAGGCTGCTCAGCAGGATCGAGTTAGGAAGGGGGTTCCAGGACAGGAACCAGCATGACTAGAGGTGGAAGAACCTTGGCATATGCAAGGCACTGTGTGTAATTCCATGGGGCTGCAGTGTAAGCTTGCAGAGAGGAGGGAGAGTGGCGTGAGATGGAAAGTGACTGATGAAATGTATGTCTCCCCAGGAACGTCGGCCACAGATAAGCCCCCAGTGAAGGGACTTAGGAAGCCTCTCCCCCTTGGTGCTCTTTCCCCAGGGAGTCTTCAGAGACTGGAAATGCTTGCCAGAAAGGAAGAGCCACTTTCTGTCCTCCATCATCAGGAGCACAGAAGAGTGAAGCTGGGCCCACGTAGAGAAGCATCTCATGCTGTCTGCGGCAGCTGTAGCGCTCTCCTGGGGCAGGAGACGCTCCAAGGTCAACATGACTTTGAAAAGGGGGTGGGAGAAAAGCCCCCAGGGCTGGCCCTGGACTCACTACCCCGGGGCTCCTAAAGGGCTAAACATGACTAGATTGTAGTGAGCCTTTCCCAACATGTAAAGAAGCATCCAGGGATAATGTCTAAATACAGATGTGCTATTTCTCTCCTCTTCCTTTTTGAACTTTCCCATCACCCTCAGTGTCCTCACAGCAGCTTCCCCTTGTCCTATGACAAACCTGGAGCAAGGTGCTTTGGGTGGGAGGCAGAGTGACGTGGAGACCCTGAGTTCTGCATATCTCTGCCTGTATTTCCCTCCTTCCTTCCTAGTTCAAGGAGGTAAACAGGTGTGGCCACTCCTCCTGGCAGGGACTTTCACAGGCCGGGGCAGGAGCTACTTGAGAAAGATTTAGCTCATTGGAGAGAGGGATGGGGCAGAGAAGGAAAGAGATGGAGGAGAAGATTGTTGAAGAATGGAAAGGTGCAATGTTCCCCAGGTCCTTGGCAGAGGGTGGCTGTGAGGTCCCACACCTGCAATTGGGATTCACTGGATTCCACCTGAGGCTGACCTGCTGACCAGAGATGGGAGCCCAGTTTCCTCTTCTGTAAAATCAGGTGTAGCCCAGTGGCTTTCAACCCTGGCTGTATGTTAGGGACATCTGGGAAGTTTTAAAGATTCCTGACGCCCACATTGGACCCCAGATCTATCAGATCAGAACATCTGGGTTTGGAATCTTTAGTGTCCCTCAGGTGACTCAAATATGCAGCCAAGATGGAGAGCACAGACCTGAGCTAAGTCCTGTTGATGAGAATTTGGAGACCATGAAACACTTAGAGCAGGCAGGATCCTAAGAAATCACCTGCTGCAACTCCCACCTTTCACAGGGGAAGAAACTGGTGATCAGAGGCCAGATCATTCACTCAAGGACACACAGCATGTGAGGGGCAGAGCCATTTCCAATATTCCCGCCACCTCTTGACCTCCCTAGAAGACCGACTGGAAGCTCTCAACTTCACAGGAGAGCTGGGTCTGAGAGGCCCACGTGGGATCCCTGATTTCCAGGAAGGAAGCCCAGGCCTCCTGGCGGCTCAGTGAGTCACCCTGCAGCAGTGGCCCTGAAGCCCCTTCTTGAAGAAAAATTCCAGGAGGCTTGAAATGTTCTCCAAGATATAGAAAAGGAAGACGTGCCTGGAAACTGGAGAAGACTGCACAACGGATATAAATATTTGGGTTTTGTGGCTTCTTCCCCCGCAGAAAATAAACATGGCAGAATTGCTTCTCACTGAAAGGGCGTCTGGGTTTCATAAACAGACCATAAAGAGGCAACCAAAGACCCAGACATCCCCAAATCAGCATCTGTCCCTGCCATCTGCTCTACCTCCATCCTCCTCGGTCTCTCTCTCACCCAGGCTCACAACACAAGGAAGCGCTCTTGCCTTTTGGGAAAAGGACCGTCTTCTCCCCACATACTTGTCTCTTGGCTCCTCCCACAGGTGGAGGGTGAATCTGATTGGTGGGAAGATAAGACTCTGGGCTCCATCCAGTGGGTGGGGCTAATATGCAAATGGTCAAAAGAGGATGCTTTTGGCAGCAACTAACGGAATATGCAACTAAAAGTGGCTTATTTTATTGCTACCTAAAATGGGGTCCATGAACCAGCAATATCAGTTCATTAGAAATACAGAATACTCAAGGTAATACTCAAGGCTTACTGAATCAGAATCTGCTTTTCTTTTTTAAACAAGATTACCCAGGTGATTCATATGCACATTAAAATTTTTAATTACTTAGAGTCAAGTTTATTTTGTTTCAGCTTTCTACCTGGCTAAAAATCTAATTATATATTAATTCCAAAGCCTCCCCAACCCCCACCCCCGCTACGTTTTCCTGTTTGAAAAAAATCACAGTACCAAAAGGAACTGATTTCTAATGTGTAATATATTTTGTTTAATTGCCTTTGTGCAGTTCAGGAAATGGGTTTCCCACATTAATTCATGGATCCACAAAAAATTTAGTGCAATTTGGTTAATTTTAGATTCACACGTGATGGTAAGAAATACGGAAAATCTCACCTGCACTTCACTCATTTCCTCCCAGTAATACCATCTTCCTAATTATAGTAAAGTTTCACAAGCAGAATATTGACTCTGATACAATCCATCTATCTGCCCCAGGTTGCACCAGTTTCATATGCACTAATTAGGGTGTGTTTAGTTATTTGAAAGTTTATTATATGTTTAGATTTGTGTGACCACCACCATTAAGATTCAAAACAGTTCTGGCGGGCGTGGTGGCTCACGCCTATAATCCCAGCACTTTGGGAGGCCAAGGCGGGTAGATCATGAGGTCAGGAGATTGAGACCATCCTGGTTAACATGGTGAAACCCCGTCTCTACTAAAAATACAAAAAAATTAGCCAGGCGTGGTGGTGGGCGCCTGCAATTCCAGCTACTTGGGAGGCTGAGGCAGGAGAATTGCTTGAACCTGGGAGGTGGAGGTTGCAGTGAGCCGAGATTGCGCCACTGAACTCCAGCCTGGGCTATAGAAGAAGATTCAGCCTCAAATAAATAAATAAATAAATAAATAATAAAATAAATAAAGATATCTAAGTGAGATCATATGGTGCATAACCTTTTGAGATCAGTTTTTTTCACTGAGCTTAATTCTCTGGAGAGCCATCTTGCCGTCACAGGTATTAATAGTTTGCCCCTTTTCATTGCAGAATAGTATTTCATAGTAGAGACGCACCAGTTTATTTAACTCATTCATTAAAGTACATTTGGGTTGTTTTCCAAGTTTTCGCTATTATCAGCAAAGTTGCTAGGATTATTCGTATATAAATTTTTGTCTGAATACAAGTTTTCATTTCTCTGGGACAAATGCCCAAGAGGGCAAATGCTGGGTTATATGGTAAGCACATGTCTAATTTTTGGAAGAAACTGCTGAACTGTTTTCCAGAGCATCTGTGTATCAGCAGTGTTTTGTATGAGCAATACAAGTTTTCTATACCCTTACCGTCATTTACTGTTATCACTATTTTTTATTTTAGCCACTTTCATGTGGGTATTTAGTGATTTTAATTTGCATTTTCCTTATGGATAATGATGTTGAACATGTTTTTGTGTACTTGCTTGCCATTCATATATCACCACTGGTGAAATAGCTGTTCATGTCTTTTGCCCATTTCCTAAATGGATTTTTTTTTTTTTACTGTTGAGTTTTAATACTTCCTTATATTATTCTAGGTATTAAATCCTTTGTGGGATAAGTGGTTTGAAAATATTTTCTCCCAGTATGTAGCTTGTCTTTTCATCCTCTTCATAAGGCCTTTTGCAGTGCAAAAGTTTTAAATTTCATTGAGGTCCAATTGATCAATTTTTCCTTTTGTGCATTGTGTTTTCTGTGTCAAGTCTAAGAACTCTTTTTCTAGCCCAGAGTCCTGAAGATTTTCTCCTAAGTATTATTTTTTTAAAGTTTTATAGTTTTACGTGTTACATTATGAGTCCAAAATCCATTTTTGAGTTAATTTTTGTATAATGTATGACAGTTAGGGTGTGATCGATTTTTTTGTCTATGGACAAATTTTTTTCTGACACTATTTGTTGAAAAGGCAATTGAACATTGAAGTTCTAGAAGCACTGGCTTAAATTACAGAGGCATTTTGTTTTTTAAACTCACTTAACAAGAAGTCCAGAAAAGGCAGCTCCAACTTGGCTTACTCTCCAGTTCTAAGAGGCCTCTGTCTGCGTCTTTGGGATTCTCTGGCCTTCGCCTTGGGGTTTCCGGTGGCTGCCATTGCTCCAGCATCACCAGCCTGTGTCCAAAACAGAGGAAAGGAAGGAGAGCTGGGAGATTTTTCTCCTGTGTGGCTTGGGAAGTCTTCCCAGAAGGCTCTTGTAAATGTCCCTTAGGTCCCATTAGCTATTAATAGAACTGGATGACAGGCTTATTGTCAAACCAATCACAAGCAAAGGGGAGAGGATTACTGTGCTTGGCCTTGAACCACTGACCAATCATGTTGCTCTGCTTAGGGCTGAAGCAGGGCCACCTTCCTTCAGCACATTGTTTTCTTTTTTTTTCTTTTCTTTTCTTTCTTTTTTTTTTTTTTTTGAGATGGAGTCTTGCTCTATCACCCAGGCTGGAGTGCAGTGGTGCGATCTCAGCTCACTGCGAGCTCTGCCTTCCCGGTTCACGCCATTCTCCTGCCTCAGCCTCCCGAGTAGCTGGGACTACAGGCGCCTGCCATCACACCCAGCTAATTTTTGTATTTTTAGTAGAGACGGGGTTTCACCTTGTTGGCCAGGATGGTCTCCATCTCTTGACCTCGTGTTCCGCCCGCCTTGGCCTCCCAAAGTGGTGAGATTACAGGCCTGAGTCACTGAGCCCAGCCGTGTTACCTAGGATGGTCTCGATCTCCTGAGCTCATGATCCGGCCGCCTCCGCCCCTCAAAGTGCTGGGATTAAGAGGCGTGAGCCACCACACCTGGCCCAGCACATTGTTTTCTACTGGAGGGGTGAACAGAAGTGTGGCTCTGTTACCAAGGAAGAAAGGAGAGTGGCTGCTAGTGTCTGCCGTGAACCTGGCTGTCCCTGTGTCCTCTCTCCTGTATGTGTGTGTGTGTGTGTGTGTCTTGCAGACATCAGTGCACAACACACCACAGCCCTATAATTCAGTGGACTGTTTATCTGCTCGGCAGACTCCACCGTCCCCACAGTCAGGGTTCAGGCACTAGAAGATATGTGGCAGGAAGGCAGAGGAAGACCCAAGCCACAGATCCCCATCCAACTTTGAGTGCAAGCAACGGAAACCAACTCTGGTTTCCTTGATTTAATTTTTTGAAGACATTTATGGGAAGAAATGGGGTAAGTATGTAGGAAAATTAAACATGAGGAGCCAGATTCAGGGAGCTTGGGGGCATCAGGGCAGCTCCTGGGTCCTCTGTGTGGCCATGATGGTGAATTCACTCATGTGTCACTGTTCACGATTCAGGTCCCCACAGGAGGACAGGACGGTCCTGTCTTGGCTACATGTTACCCCCTGGACTCGGGGAGGGTATTGTCATTTGACTGAAAGTCCCTCCTCACCGCATGGACAGGGATGGGGAGCTTCTCAGCGGAAGCCCAAGGATTTGCTTAGGATGGGAGAGCAAACCCCGCATGCCCTCCACATA